AAGAAATTTTACTATTACCATAATCACATTTATGTTTTTTTCTGTCTTTGCTGTTTGATTTAATGGCTGAAGAAAGGACCAATGAAAAATAAAAGGGTAGCAGAGTATTATAAGTAGTTGGAGAAATAAAAACTAAGAATAAAATGTTTAAGAGGGAAAACAAAGAAAGAAAAATAGAGGAAAAATAAAGAAAGAAAGAAAAAGAGAGGAAAAAGTGAGGAAAAAGAAAGACAAAGAGGAAAAATAAATAAAGAAAGAGAGGAAAATAAAGAAAAAGAAAAAGAGGAAAAATAAAGAAAGAAAAAATTAAGAAAGCAAGAAAAAGAGGAAAAATAAATAAAAAGAGAGGAAAAATAAAGAAAGAAAGAAAAAGATAGTCTTTGTATTATGACTATCTCTTCTAATAATATGACAATATTTGCCTGTTTTTTTTAAATTAGAAATATAAAATACTAGAATTTATTCACACCTTAAATTAATTTTAATTTTCATATAAAAGGATGATAATTTTGTATTTGTATTATTGTATTTTGTATTTACATTTTTTTTTATACTGTTTCACATCAGAATTTAGGAAATTATTTTACTCTTACTCTCATTATTTACAATATTTGGATTGTTATCCTCATCTTTATTGCCATATTCATATTGCCACTGTGGATAAAGGCATTGGTTAGATTTAGTGACCAAACTTAAAGAGTTGTGAGTTCACTACCTGGCTACAGCAGTGGTGACCCAATACTTAGAGAGTTGAGTTAAAGGGAAATAACTGAGATATCCAGAAGAGGCATGGCACATGGAACTAGAACATGCTTCCCCAGTGGATGAAATAAATGGTTCAGTTTTAACTTCCAATCACTTGAAGACGGCTGGAGTGTACAATGGCTGAAATGTTGTGAATATGGCAATGAAGATGAGGGTTCTTTCTCTTATGCAAACAAATGAAACGCACTTTCTACTATTTTGTCTGAATAATCTAAATAATATAAGTAATCATTATACCACATCTCAGAGATATAGACAGATATTTTACTCTTCTTTAAACTGCTACAACTTCTTTGGAAAGATAGTGGAATATTGCCTCTTTCCTTTTTTTACAATTTTGAATTAAGAGGATTCTATCTCCTAGACTGGCTGCCAACCAAGTCTAAAGATCCCTATCTACATTATTATTTGAAAGAGAACTTAAGAGAGATGGGGTTCATGCATTTTCCAGTGGTGGTATTAGTGCGAAAGTGAATGCAACGGATTGGGCTGCTTTTTGAACACTGCTCCCTAATTTCTTTTTCCTATACTGATAACTGTATTTATGGAATGTCAGAACTGTAAATATTTGTGTGTGTTTATTTTTTGACAGCACAGCTAAACTAGTAATGATGATAATATCACCAGAACAATTAGGAAAAAGAAAAAAAATATAAAAAGAAATCCTTGAAAAATTTGCTCATGGGTCTGACTCAAGGGATATACAAAATCTAAAAGAAGTCAGAATCTCCAAGAGCTATGTAGCCGCTAAGACTTCTCTTGTTCCTCTGCTCTGTCACGAAAGAATACAAACATTTACTTTGGCAACTCTTCAGGAAAGAAACAAAATCTTAATCCAAACAATGTCAGTAAAAGAAAAATGGCAAAGAATAGAAACACTGGAAAATAGTAGAAACGTGTTTCATTTGTTTGCATAAGAGAAAGAATATTTTCAATTCCATGTAGACGGTTTGTAGTTCAACCTTCTTTTTAATTTGACCAACATTTGATCAGATAGTTACATTGACATTTGCAATTGGTCTGTGTTTCTCTAACTTAGTTCTACAGTTTCAAGGCTTGCAGTTTGCTTGTCTTTAAATCCAACTCAAATTTTATCAAACAACAGTTTTCACTTTTATTGGGTCAGAGCAAAAATGTGTAGCCTTGGATGTGAACTTCAAAGACGTTTTTAAATATTTGTACATAGACTTATTCAGCCATATATGTGCTATTTTGTTCCACTAACTTTTGCCATCTTTGAGAAAGCTTCATAATGCCATCCTCCCAGGAACGGTATCTTTCTGGGTGATTTACTGATCTAAACAGTTTTTACAGACTTCCAAAAAATGGAAGTTCTTGCCATTCAAAGGATAGTGGCTCAGAAATAGTAATCAGAGTCAAGTTTGAATTCCAATTAAGTTTGTTCCATTCACTTATGTGCATATATCCTTGGGAAAACTTACGAATCCATCTCTTCTCCCACCAGCTATGGGTTAAATAGTAGAACTTGTATCTGGAAAAAATCATAATTATCTCTAAAAAAATGTTAAAATTTGATCAAATTTACAATTTGTTTGCATTTCTATCAATAAAAGTAAAGTTCTAAGTCCAGTTTTCTTTTCATCTGACCAAAAATGAAGAAAAGTCAAAAATATATTTTGTGCAGGATGAAAATGATTCTGTGATATATCTTTTTCAAAGGACACAAGTATTTTTCATTAATAATAAATGAAAAATTGTTACCTTAGAATTGGTTATTTATATTCTGAAAGGGCAAAGCATTTAAAAAGAACTGATCAAGTGGTTTTTAGGCAGCCATTTTGCCAGAAAGTTTTATTTACACTTATTAAAAGCATTTGATATGATACAAGACAAAGATCTATTTGAAGTGCTAAGAGAACTTGATTCATTAAGGAAAGATATTAAAATAATCAAAATTATTTAGAAGGGCGAGCAGCCAGTGCTACCTTCAGTTGAAATTTCTAAAATCTTTCTCTTAAGACAATTTTTCAGGAAAATATATTTCGCAAATCTATTATATTACCACTTTTTCCATCATCGATGGGGTTTCCTTCCTAAAGTCAAGTTTGACGTTGTGTGGAACATTAACATCGTGATTATATCATTATTATCTCTTCAAGTTACATATGTTATCCCTTTTAGTTGTTGATGTTGTTGGTAATCCCCAAATGGATTCTGTTATTTGGTACAATATTTTGTGATTCTGTAGTACCAATCCATGAGTTTCAAAGAACAATGGTCCACACTAAGACCTAAAGACTTCATTTGCTTGAACTTATTTTTAACCATTGCACTTAGAAAGCAGTTGTATACAGTTGAGCAAGTACCCCAAAATAGATAGAGGCATAAGCCAAGTATCTGTCATCTCACCAGATTTATTTATCCTATACTGTGAGATGATACTAAGATAATCAGAATTCCTACCAGGGTGGATTTATTGTTGGTGGACACAATCTTAATGCAAGATATGGCACTGTATTGATAGCAGACACAGAAACAAAATTGCAAGATCTCTTGGACAATGTAGTAAAGAAAAGCAAGTCAGGACTAACCATCCCTTGTAAGAAAACAAAATATATGGTCATTAGCAAAAGGGACAGTTCAAAATGTGAGTTACAATTTGGAGATGTCAGAATCAAGCTAGTACAGAGATTTAATTATCTGCAAAAGGTTTCAAAAGCTGATGAAAAATGTGACCCAGAAAACTGAAGGCTCATTGGAAAGATGCCTTCCAAAATCAAAAGAAACTACGAAGAAACAGGAAAATGTCATTAGAAATAAAGGAAAGAGTGCTGAACTGCTATGTAATATGAATCCCCCTCAAGGGCAGTAAATGCTGGACAATCTCCTCACAGGCTAGATGCATCAGAAATGTAGTTCTACAAAAACATGTTGTGAATACCATGGATGAAACATGTTAATGACAAGGAAGGTTAAAGAAAAACAGGAACAAAAAAGAGACTTAGAATCAGAAAAAGATTATTGGAATTTCTTGGGCAAATACTAAGGCAAGGATGTTTGGAGAATTGGATACTTACAGGACATTGGAGGCAAGAGGAGCAAAAGGAAACATTGAGTAATCGAGTTAATGAGCTTGTGAAAATGGAATGTCCAACAAGGACAGATAGGGATAGAAAGGGGAAAAATTATTGCTTAGAGCTATAAAGCTATAAAAGGCAGACGCTGTGGAGTCATAATAACCCATATCCTGAAGAAATATAACACAATGAAGAAAATGTAGGTCAATCTCTATTTTACAAGGGTATTTGTTGGGGACTATGAGTCAGTTGCGCACTTTGTAGATATTGGTTCTTCCCTCTCCCTTAGGTAAATATTCTCTGATCTATTTTGCCAATGTTTTTAGTGGGGTATAAAATGAGGGTTTCATTTTATTCTTTTTTTTTTCGTCAATCATGTCTTATCAAACCAGCAAGGCCTGAAATGTTGCTCAGAAATATTAAAATTCCACACTTAGTCTATATCCCAAGGTATTTGCATCGATGAGTGGTGTCTTTTATTCTTTAGTATACACAGAAAAACACTATAATAATTAATATTCAACTTAGCAGTGTATTTTCCAACTTCAGAAATTGTAGAAAATTATTGTCATTATTGTGTGTTTTAACAAATCCTCCCAAACATAAGTTAGTTTCCATTGTCTATCAACTTCATTTATCTGATGTTAAGCCATTTTTGAAGATGTCCATGTGATTATATGGCAAAGTGAACATCTGGAAGTATTTTGAGATTAGCAATAAGAATTGTTCTCTTTTGTGTGACTTCACTCATGTTGTAAAAGAGGAGTTTCATATTGTGCCAGTAATTAATGATAAAGCTATTGGGCTTTTGTGAAGTGTCTGGATTTAACAGTGGATTTGCAGATCTTGGCATTCTTTCTTGTACAGTCTTTGTTTGATACCCCATTTAGAAGAACAGTTGGGCAAACGGACAGGGTTTGGAGAGGAAAGGAAAAGGGTAAGAGAAAAAGGGATTAATGTGAGGAGTGTAGAAGAGAAAGGAAAAGATAATAGGTTAGAAGAAGGTAAAAAGAGGAAGAAAAGGCACGAAGGAAATGAAAAAAAGAAAAAGATAAAAGGTGAGAAGAAGATGACAATAGATGGAAAGGGATAAAAAGTGAAGAAAAGAAGTAAAAGAAGAAATGAAAGGGAATGTAAATAGAAGGAAAGTGACATTAGGTGAGAAGGGGTGATGAGAGAAATAGGAGGTAAGTGATATTAGGTGAGAAGGAGTGAAGAGAGAAATAGAAGGAAAGTGATGCTAGGTGAGAAGGAGTGAAGAGAGAAATAGAAAGGAAAGTGATGCTTAGGTGAGAAGGAGATGAAGAGAAAAGAAGGAAAGGAAAGAGAGAAATAGAAGGAAAGTGAGGCTATGTGGAGAAGGAGAAGAGAAAATAGAAGGAAAGTGGAGAAGGAGGAGAAAAGAAGGAAAGTGAAGAGAGAAAGGAGAAGGAAAGGACGCTATTAGGTGAGAAGGAGTGAAGAGAGAAATAGAAGGAAAGGACGCTTAGGTGAGAAGGAGGAAGAAAGAGAAATAGAAGGAAAGTGATATTAGGTGAGAAGGAGAGAGAAATAGAGAAATAGAAGGAAAGAAATAGAAGGAAAAGTGATTTAGGTGAGAAGGAGTGAAGAGAGAAATAGAAGGAAAGTGATATTAGGTGAGAAGGAAGAGAGAAATAGAAGGGGAGAAAAAGAGAAGGAAAGTGAAGAGAGAGAAATAGAAGGAAAGGATATTAGGAGAAGGAGGGAGAAAGGGAGAAAGGAGGAAGAGAGAAATAGAAGGAAAGTGATATTAGGTGAGAAGGGGTGAAAAGAGAAATAGAAGGAAAGGATATTAGGGGAGAAGGGAGAGAGAAATAGAAGGAAAGTGATATTAGGTGAGAAGGGGTGATGAGAGAAATAGAAGGAAAGTGATATTAGGGAGAAGGGGTGAAGAGAGAAATGAGAGAAAGAAGGAAAGGATATTAGGGTGAGAAGGGGTGATGAGAGAAATAGAAGGAAAGTGATATTAGGTGAGAAGGGGTGATGAGAGAAATAGAAGGAAAGTGATATTAGGTGAGAAGGAGTGAAGAGAGAAATAGAAGGAAAGTGATATTAGGTGAGAAGGGGTGATGAGAGAAATAGAAGGAAAGTGATATTAGGGGAGAAGGAGTGAAGAGAGAAATAGAAGGAAAGTGATATTAGGGAGAGAAGGGGAAAGTGATGAGAGAAATGAAGAAGAAGAAAGTGTTATTAAGGGAGAAGGGTGATGAGAGAAATAGAAGGAAAGAGATATTAGGTGAGAAGGGGGGAAGAGAGAAATAGAAGGAAAGTGATGGTAGGGAGTGAAGAGAGAAATGAGAAGGGGTGATGAGAGAAAATAGAAGGAAAGTGATATTAGGTGAGAAGGAGGAAGAGAGAAATAGAAGGAAAGAAGATATTAGGTGAAGAAGGGGGTGAGAAGGGTGATGAGGAGAAATAGAAGGAAAGTGATATTAGGTGAGAAGGAGTGAAGAGAGAAATAGAAGGAAAGTGAAATAGAAGGAAAGTGACGCTAGGTGAGAAGGAGTAAGAGAGAAATAGAAGGAAAGGAGAGGGAGAAGAGAGAAATAGAGAGAGTGAGGCTAGAAGGAAAGTGAAGAGAGAAAAGGAAAGGGACGAGAGAAGTAGAAGGAGGAGGGTGAGAAGGAAGAGAGAAATAGAAGGAAAGTGACGCTTAGGTGAGAAGGAAATAAGAGAGAAATAGAAGGAAGGTGAGAAGGAGTGAGGTGAGAAAGAGTGATGAGAGAAATAGAAGGAAAGTGATATTAGGGGTGAGAAGGAGGAATGAGAGAAATAGAAGGAAAGAAGGAGTGAAGAGAGAAATAGCTAGGGTGAGAAGGGAAGAGAACAGATGAGAGAAAGGGGGTAAGAAGGAATAGAAGGAAAGTGACGCTTAGGTGAGAAGGAGGATGAGAGAAATAGAAGGAAAGTGACGCTTAGGTGAGGAGGAGAGATGAGAGAAATAGAAGGAAAGGGACGAGAGGGGGAAGAGATGGAGAAGATGAGAGAAATAGAAGGAAAGTGACGCTAGGTGAGAAGGAGTGATGAGAGAAATAGAAGGAAAGTGACGCTAGGTGAGATGGAGTGATGAGAGAAATAGAAGGAAAGTGACGCTAGGTGAGAAGGAGTGATGAGAGAAATAGAAGGAAAGTGACGCTAGGTGAGAAGGAGTGAAGAGAGAAATAGAAGGGAAAAGGAGGACGAGAGAAATAGGTGAGATGGAGGAGTGAAGAGAGAAATAGAAGGAAAGTGACGCTAGGTGAGAAGGAGGATGGAAAGACGCTTAGGTGGGAGAAGGAGAAGAGAAAATAAAAGGAAAGGAGGCTAGGTGAGAAGGAGGAAGAGAGAAATAGAAGGAAAGGACGCTAGGTGAGAAGGAGGAAGAGAGAAATAGAAGGAAAGGAGGTGGAGAAGGAGGAAGAGAGAAAGAAGAAAGGAGGAGGTGAGAAGGAGGAAGAGAGAAATAGGAAGGAAAGTGACGCTAGAGTGAGAAGGAGTGATGAGAGAAATAGAAGGAAAGTGACGCTAGGGAGTGAGAGAAATGGAGGATGAGAAATAAGAAGGAAAGTGACGCTAGAAGGAGTGAGATAGAATAAGTGATGAGAGAAATAGAGAAATAGGAAAGTGATGAAGAGAGAAATAGGGAAAGGACGAAGAGAGAAGGAGGATGAGAGAAATAGAAGGAAAGTGACGCTTAGGGAGAAGGAGGATGAGAAGGGGAGTGATGAGAGAAATAGAAGGAAAGGACGCTTAGGTGAGGATGGAGGATGAGAGAAATAGAAGGAAAGTGACGGTGAGAAGGAGTGAAGAGGAGAAGGAGGATGAGAGAAATAAGAGTGGAAAGGACGCTTAGGTGAGGAGGAGGAAGAGAGAAAGGATGATAGAAGGAAAGTGACGCTTGAGGGAGGAAGAGGAAATAGAAGGAAAGGAGTGATGAGAGGGGTGAAGAGAAATAGAAGGAAAGTGAGGCTAGGTGAGAAGGAGGAGAGAAATAGAGAGAAATTAAGGAAAGGAGGACGCTAGGGAAAGTGAGGCTAGGAGGGAGGAAGAGAAATAGAAGGAAAGTGACGCTAGGTGAGGGAGGAGGAAGAGAGAAATAGAAGGAAAGTGACGCTTGAAGGTGAGGAGGAGAAGGAGAGAGAAATAGAAGGAAAGTGACGCTAGGTGAGAAGGAGGAAGAGAGAAATAGAAGGAAAGGACGCTATTAAGGAGAAGGAGAAGGAAATAGAGAAGAGAGAAATAGAAGGAAAGTGACGCTTAGGTGAGAAGGAGAAGAGAAATAGAAATAGAAGGAAAGGAAGAGAGAAATAGAAGGAAAGTGACGCTAGGTGAGAAGGAGTGAAGAGAGAAATAGAAGGAAAGTGACGCTAGGTGAGAAGGAGTGAAGAGAGAAATAGAAGGAAAGTGACGCTAGGTGAGAAGGAGTGATGAGAGAAATAGAAGGAAAGTGACGCTTTGAGAAGGGTGAAGGAGTGACGCTTAGAGAGAGGAAAGTGAGAAGGAAAGGGACGCTAGGTGAGAAGAAAGGAAATAGAAGAAAGGAGAGAAATAGAAGAAGAAAGGACGCTAGGTGAGGTGAGGAGGAGGAAGAGAGAAATAGAAGGAAAGAAGGACGCTTGAGAAGGAGGAGAGAGGAAGGAAAGTGACGAGGTGAAAGGAGGAAGGAAAATAGAAGGAAAGTGACGCTAGGTGAGAAGGAGAAGAGGAAGGAAAGTGATGAGAGAAAGAAATAGAAGGAAAGTGACGCTAGGTGAGAAGGAGGATGAGAGAAATAGAAGGAAAGTGACGCTAGGTGAGAAGGTGAGAGAGGGAAAGTGAGAAGAGAAAAATAGAAGGAAAGTGAGGCTAGGTGAGAAGGAGGAAGAGAGAAATAGAAGGAAAGTGAGGCTAGGTGAGAAGGAGGAAGAGAGAAATAGAAGGAAAGGACGCTAGGTGAGAAGGAGTGATGAGAGAATAGAAGGAAAGTGACGCTTAGGTGAGAAGGAGGATGAGAGAAATAGAAGGAAAGTGACGCTTAAGGAGGATGAGAAGGAGTGAAGAGAAAAAGAAGGGAAAGGAGAGTGAGAAGGAGAAGAGAGAAATAGAAGGAAAGGACGCTAGGTGAGAAGGAGGATGAGAGAAATAGAAGGAAAGTGATATTAGGTGAGAAGGAGGATGAGAGAAATAGAAGGAAAGTGACGCTTAGGTGAGAGGAAGGAAATGAAGAGAGAAAAGGAGAAGGAAAAAGGATATTAGGGAGAGAAGGATGAGAGAAAGGAGAAGGAAAGTGACGCTAGGGTGAGAAGGAGAGGAATAGAAGAGAAGGAAAGTAGAAACAGAAGGAAAGTGATTTAGGAAGAGAAATAGAAGGAAAGTGATGAGAAGGAAAGAGAAATAGAAGGAAAGTGACGCTAGGTGAGAAGGAGGAAGAGAAATAGAAGGAAAGTGAGAGAAAATAGAAGGAAAGGACGCTTAGGTGAGAAGGAGGAAGAGAGAAATAGAAGGAAAGTGACGCTAGGTGGAGAAGGAGGATGAGAGAAATAGAAGGAAAGGACGAGAGCAATAGGTGAGAAGAGGAGAGATCAGAAGAAATAGAAGGAAAGAAGGAAATTAGGGTGAGAAGGAGTGATGAGAGAAATAGAAGGAAAGTGACGCTTAGGTGAGAAGGAGGAGGAGAAATAGAAGGAAAGTGAGAGGTGAAAGGAGGAGAAGGAAAGTGACGCTAGGTGAGGGAGGAGAGAGAAGGCTAGGTGAAGAGTGAAGAGAGAAATAAAAGGAAAGTGAGGGCTAGGTGAGAAGGAGGAAGAGAGAAGGAAAGTGATAGAAAGGAGAAAGAGAAATAGAAGGAAAAGTGAGGGTGAGAAGGAGGAAGAGAGAAAGTGACGCTAGAAGGAGTGAGAGAAATAGAAGGAAAGTGATTAGAAGGAAAAGAGAAGGAAAGGACGCTAGGTGAGAAGGAGTGATGAGAGAAATAGAAGGAAAGTGACGCTGATGAGAAGGAGGAGAAATGAGAAGGAGTGATGAGAGAAAAGAGGAAATAGAAGGAAAAAGAGAAGGAGGTGAGAAGGAGTGATGAGAGAAATAGAAGGAAAGGACGAAGGAGGATTAGGTGAGAAGGAGAAGATGAAGAGAAATAGAAGGAAAGTGATATTAGGTGAGAAGGGGGAAGAGAGAAATAGAAGGAAAGTGAGGCTAGGTGGAGAAGAAGGAAAGTATTATGAGAGAAATAGAAGGAAAGTGAGGCTTAGGTGAGAAGGAGGAAGAGAAAATAGAAGGAAAGAAAGGTGAGAAGGAGATTAGTGAAATAGAAGGAAAGTGGAGAAAGGATGGACGCTAGGTGAGAAGAGAGAAAAAAGGAAAGTGACGCTAGGTGGAGAAGGGAAAGTGAAGAGAGAAAAATAGAAGGAAAGTGACGCTAGGGTGAGAAGGAAATAGAAGGAAGAGAGAAAGAGAAATAGAAGGAAAGTGACGCTAGGTGAGAAGGAGTGAAGAGAGAAATAGAAGGAAAGTGACGCTAGGTGAGAAGGAGTGAAGAGAGAAATAGAAGGAAAGTGACGCTAGGTGAGAAGGAGTGAAGAGAGAAATAGAAGGAAAGTGACGCTAGGTGAGAAGGAGGAAGAGTTAGAAGGAGAAGGGAGGAAGAGAGAAATAGAAGGAAAGTGACGCTAGGTGAGAAGGAGTGAAGAAAGAGAAAGGAGAAGAGAGAAAATAGAAGGAAAGTGACGCTTAGGTGAGAAGGAGGAAGAGAGAGGAAATAGAAAGGAAAGAGGAAATAGAAGGAAAGGACGCTTAGGTAGGGAGGAAGAGGAAATGAGAAGGAGGAAGAGAGAAATAGAAGGAAAGTGACGCTTAGGTGTGAGAAGGAGAAAGAGAAATAGAAGGAAAGGACGCTAGGTGAGAAGGAGTGAGAGAGAGAAAAGGATAGGTGAGAAGGGAGGAAAGAAATAGAAGGAAGAAGGAGGAGAGAAATAGAAGGAAAGTGACGCTTAGGTGAGAAGGAGGAAGAAGAGAGAAATAGGAGGAAGAAATGAAGGGAAAGTGACGCTAGGTGAGAAGGAGAAGAAGAGAGAAAAAGTAGAAGGAAAGAGGAAATGAAGGAAAGTGACGCTTAGGTGAGAAGGAGAAGAGTGAAATAGAAGGAAAGTGACGAGGTGAGAAGGAGTGAAGAGAAATAGAAGGAAAGGACGCTATTAGAGAAATGAAGGAAAGGGGGTGAGAAGGGAGTGAGAGAAATAGAAGGAAAGTGACGCTTAGGTGAGAAGGAGTGATGAGAAAATAGAAGGAAAGTGACGCTATTAGGTGAGAAGGAGGTGAAAGAGAGAAATAGAAGGAAAGTGACGCTTAGGTGAGAAGGGAGAAGAGAGAAATAGAAGGAAAGTGATATTAGGTGAGAAGGGAAGAGAGAAGGAGTGAAGAGAGAAATAGAAGGAAAGGACGCTTAGGTGAGAGAAGGAAAGGATGAGAGAAAATAGAAAGGATATTAGGAAAGTGATAAGGAGGAAGAGAGAAATAGAAGGAAAAGAATACGCTTAGGTGAGAAGGAAAGGAAGGAAAGAGAGAAATAGAAGGAAAGTGACGCTTAGGTGAGAAGGAGGAAGAGAGAATAGAAGGAAAGGGGTGATGAGAGAAAGAAGAAAGTGGGTGAGAAGGAGGATGAGAGAAATAGAAGGAAAGTGATATTAGGTGAGAAGGAGGATGAGAGAAATAGAAGGAAAGTGATATTAGGTGAGAAGGAGGAAGAGAGAAATAGAAAGAAAAGATATTAGGTGAGAAGGTGAGAAGGAGATGAGAGAAAATAGAAGGAAAGTGATATTAGGTGAGAAGGGGTGAAGAGAGAAATAGAAGGAAAGTATTAGGAGACGGTAGGTGAGAAGGATATTAGGTGAGAAGAGAGAAATAGAAGGAAAGTGATATTAGGTGAGAAGGAGGAGAGAGAGAAATAGAAGGAAAGGGGTGACGAGAAATAGGTGAGAAGGAGGATGAGAAAAATAGAAGGAAAGGAAAGGTGATAGGGGTGAGAAGGAGGATGAGAGAAATAGAAGGAAAGGGTGAGAAGGATGAGAGAACATTAGGTGAGAAGGGGAAGAGAGAAATAGAAGGAAAGTGACGAGAGAAATAGAAAGAAAGTAGGTGAGAAGAAGGAGAAATGAAGAGAGAAATAGAAGGAAAGTGATATTAGGTGAGAAGGAGGAAGAGAAAAGAAGAAAGAAAGGGAGTGAGAGAGAAATAGAAGGAAAGTGACATTTAGAAGAAAGGAAGAGAGAAATAGAAGGAAAGACATTAGGTGAGAAGGAGGATGAGAGAAATAGAAGGAAAGTGATATTAGGAGAAGGAGGTGAGAAGGAGGAAGAGAGAAATGAGAGAAATAGAAGGAAAAAGGACGCTTAGGTGAGAAGGAGGAAGAGAGAAATAGAAGGAAAGTGACGCTTAGGTGAGAAGGAGGATGAGAGAAATAGAAGGAAAGTGACGCTTAGGTGAGAAGGAGAAGAGAGAAATAGAAGGAAAAGGACGCTTAGAGAAAGTGAAGAGAGAAATAGAAGGAAAGTGACGCCAGGTGAGAAGGAGTGATGAGAGAAAAAAGTGATAGGAAGGAAAGGACGAGAAGGAAAGTGACGGTGAGAAGGAGAGAGAAAGAAGGAAAGGACATTAGGGAGAAGGGGAGAGAAAATAGAAGGAAAGACATTAGGTGAGAAGGAGAAGAGAAAATAGAAGGAAAGAATTAGGTGAGAAGGAAAAATAGAAGGAAAGTGACGCTTAGGGTGAGAGGGGAGGAAGAGAGAAATAGAAGGAAAAGAGAAATAGAAGGAAAGTGACGCTTAGGTGAGAGGGAGGAAGAGAGAAATAGAAGGAAAGTGACGCTAGGTGAGAAGGAGTGAAGAGAGAAATAGAAGGAAAGTGACGCTAGGTCAGAGGGAGTGATGAGAGAAACAGAAGGAAAGTGACGCTAGGTAAGAAGGAGTGATGAGAGAAATAGAAGGAAAGTGACGCTTAGGTGAGAAGGAGGAAGAGAGAAATAGAAGGAAAAGTGACGCTAGGTGAGAAGGAGGAAGAGAGAAATAGAGGAAAATAGGGTGAGAAGGAGAAGAGAGAAATAGAAGGAAAGTGACGCTTAGGTGAGAAGGAGAGAGAAATAGAAGAGAGTGATATTAGGTGAGAAGGAAAGAAATAGAAGGAAAGTGACGCTAGGTGAGAAGGTGTGAAGAGAGAAATAGAAGGAAAGTGACGCTAGGTGAGAAGGAGTGAAGAGAGGAAATAGAAGGAAACTGGTGATTAGAGAAATGAAGAAGGATGCTAGAGAAGGAGAAAGAGAAATAGATGGAAAGTGAGAAAAAGTGAGAATGAAAGGGTATAAAACTAGGAAAGGGATAAAAGGAGAGAAGAAAACAGGGCAAAAATAGAATATAAAGTATAAAAGTGTGAAAGGAAATATTAATATCTGTATTTGCTTGATTTTGTCATTTCCAATTCTTAGCTTGCATCTGTGTTGTCCCTGTCTGCTAATGAACATAGATTCTTTCTTCTTATATTTGATAGTCCTTTCATCTTGCTTTCTTTTACTATCAAAACTACTAAATACTTTATCTGTTGATCCACATTTATTGTGTCTTTTCAGCTATAAATAGCTGCATGTTATTTGGAATGTTATCCTGCCTTGGTATTTGGTTTATTCCAACTAAATCTATTCATAGTTATTTATAAGTTTCTCTTTTTTCTGGCAAAAGGTCATGGGCACAGAATTTTCAGTGAATATCAAATTCACTTGTCCAGCCAGCTACTTAACTATTATGCTACAAGATATTCAGAATATATAAATATTTAAAAACAGTATTCTTCTATGTACTGTATCCTTTCAGGACATGGGTAATCATGGCTCTCCACAACCTCTTGTCCCTTGTAGCCCTTAGTAAATTTTCTCTTTTTGCTATCTCTGCTAATCCCTTTTCTGCAAACCATTTATACAGACTTGTTAAGTAGGTTATGTGCTGCTTCTCTTTGCCTCTCTTGCCTTCAATATGTTGTTTGAGTATCAAATTTTCCTCATTATGTGTTCTAGAAGTTTTAACTATCTCTTTCTGATGCTATGTATAAGTGTTTTTTTGTTTTCATTTTCTCTAAAGCTTCATCATTGCTCATATCTTCAGTCCTGTGTATTCTCAACATCCTTCTGTAGAACTACATTTCTTTTGCCCCAAGTTTCTTCTCCATCTGTGAGGAAATGGTCCTGCATTCACTGTCATATAGGAGTACCTATATTACATAACAGTCCAGTATTCTTTGTTTCTTTTGTGATGTTGGATGTCTTCACTTGTCACTTTTGTTATGTCAAACGAAACCTCATTATCACTTCTAAAAATGCTCATTATATTCAAGACTTTGTAAACACTGGTACTAGATGCTTTCCTTTTGATATCCACCCTAGTAATACTTGTTCAAGTAGTAATTGCCAAATAACATGATCAGAAGAGAATCATAATCTGTATAGTAGTAGAGTAGATAGAGTAAACATATAGCAATAGTGGATAGACAAGAAGAGTCGACTGTGATTGTATAGTCCTCATGCTACTTCCTATTTATTCACTTCCTTTATGATCACATGATCTACTTAATAATGGAATTGCCCATGTTACTCACTGGTGATCTAGTTTCAAACTGCAGTATCAGCTCTGACACTTTTATACAACAGTTTCCAATGAAATTTTCCTGTTTCTTAATACTTTACTTATCTTTTGGAAGGTATATTTCACTATCCCACTGTGCATTCAAATAGCGATGTCATATTTTCCATCCCCTGTTAAAAGACTTCCTGGATATTTAAATGTTTGCACTTGTTTAATTTTAGTATCTCTAATTTTTAATTCAAGGTTTGGGTTATTTCTTTTGCTCATCATCATACATTCTCTGTTCTTACAATTGATGATTAATCCTTTCTTCTTGCTTTTCTTTGCTTCCCTGTGTAGGTTTACCTGTAACTTTCTTTCTGTGTCTGCTACCAACACTGTGTCATCTGCATAGTTAATGTTGTTAAGCCACTAATAATGAACCCAGGCAGGACTTCTAATTCTCTCAGGATTGCTTCATTTACATATAAATGCTGCTCTGGAAAGTTGTAAGCTAAGAAAGGTGCTGGATCATGGGAGTTGTCAGACCATGGTGTGTCACATTCAAGAGGTTTGACTGCAGTTAAATTTCTGTACCCACTTGATTTTGACACCCTCATTATGTCACTCAAATCTTGGGTTGTCCTAGGTATGATAATGAACTACATCTGGCAGCAAGGCCTCTGATTGGAAGCTTTTGAGGTGCATGGAACTACCTCTTAATTGCTGTTGTTCCCAGGTTGTTAGGATCTCAGGTATAGGCAAATAGGTAACCAGCAAACATTATAAAAGTATGAAAAGAAATTTTTGTGGTTGGAATATTAGTAAATACATTTTCATAGTAAAAAAAAATTACCAGGAATACATTATTGGAAAAAGCACTAAAGCTCTCAAGACAATTAAATTTTGGCATTAAATTATGCCATTAACCAAACTAAATCAAATCTTGGTCTTAGGGTTAATTAACTTGAACCATAGAAGAGAATTGTTTCAAAATAATTATTCAAAAAACATTTATTCAAATTGTAAATTGTTTGAATGAAAATTAATCAAAAGGACAATTATACTAAATAATAATTATTCAAAAAACTTATGTTGGAAATACATATGTGGTCTTGCTTTGAGAGAGTCAAGGCTGATTTACCTAGAACTAATAATGCCCTTGAAGGATGGCATAGGGCTTTTTTGCAGCAAGTATCACCCCATCACCCCACAATATTGAAATTCTTAGGTACTCTTAACACAGAACAGGACTTGCAAGAAATTCATATTGCAAAACTAAGAGCAGGTTGCTAAAATATCAAGAGCACCAAAAAATACCACAACATAAATGGAAGACTTAATAAATTAGTGGCTTCCTTTAACAAGTACTCTTTAGTAGTTGACTATTTGCGTACAATATCATATAACTTAGGGTTATAAGGATTTTTTCTTACTAAATTGTTTTATTAAAATAAAATCAAAATGCATGGAGAAGAAGAGTGGTAGGAATCACCCCAAAATATGCCACACTTGCAGAAAAAAAAATAACAATTGTAACAGCCTATAGAACTTTGGTTCATTTTCTTTCCTCTCATTATTTACCAAGAATGACAGTAACTTATTGGCTTGCCACTGTAAAAATCAAATACTTTGATCTCTGCTACAAAATGTTCCACCACACATGTTGATCCCAGGTGATTCTGGTTGCCAATTCTGCTGCTGCTTATGAAGTATTTCTACCCCACTACACACACACACACACACACACACACACAAACACTTTTTGCAAACTCATTATTTGTCCCTCAGGCCATCAAATCCTGAAAAGCACTATCCACCTCTGCTATCATTCATGTCTTCTGTCCACAAGCATGCACTTATCATTTTCAGAAAGTTTAATACAACTATTATTTATTTTCAACATAATCTCCTTCTTCACTGATGCACTTCATTAGTTAAGGAATCATATAAATTAAATATTAAACTGTTAAACTGAACATTTGAGATCAATAAATACATACATATATATATATATATATATATATATATATTGTGTGCCATGCGTGATACACATTTAGGCGATCATGTATCTTTCAATACAAGACTGATGAGGCAGATTTTTTCCCGCAGTAGGTTGCCATTTCTTTCTGTGGAAACCATCCAGGGCTATCAAACCCAGTCTGTCCTGCTATTTACCCATAGCTGGTGGGAGAAAAAGAGGATTCATACTTTTCTCAAGGGTATTAGCACATAAGTGAATGTAATGGATTTGACTGGAATCCATATATATATATATATATATATATATATATATATATATATGGTGGACTCTCCTATCATGAATGATAAATGAGGGTCAGCATTGGATGGTGCCTTTCATTTTACACTTATGCATGCTAATAGATATATATATATGATGACTATAAATGCCATTTTAGTGGGTATCCATTTTTTTTAATAATGAAATTAATAATAAGTGGACTAAATTCATAAATCCTACTAAAGAAAGGTTGTGCCTCAAACAGGAATTGAACCTTTCTCCTTTTTTGCATCAGGAAAACAGATTCTGTAGTCAAAATGTGCTGCTGCCAGTTTGGCCATGAAGGCCATGTTGATAAAGCAAGGTTTTACTTATCATTAATGGAATGGACATCTCTTGCTGGGAGCTCAACAAATTGTTTTATATCTGAAACATAAACTTAAATGTAAAAATACATTTAAACATGATTGTTGTTTAATTCTTACCTCTGGAAAAGAAGACATTTATAAGCAGATCTGAACATTTGTATGTGAAAGGTCACGGTAAAATTAGCCTCTTCAATATAAGAACCGTCTTCATTCATTAAATGAACAGTTAATGTTACTACCAGTTGAAAGTTACAAAATCTTTTTATTAAAACAACTCCAAATAAATAAAACATCAAGAAAATAGAGTTCTTAAGTTCACTAAATGTTATAGCTTATATTTCTTTTATAAGAGTTTATACCCAAACTTTTTTTTTTTTGGTAGTATGGAAAGTTAACAGTTTTGATTATATTTCCTCTTTTAGTCATGTGGGCTACTCATTTTTGTTGTTGCTGCTGTTGAAAGTGTTCAAGTGATCAATTTGCTAATGCTCTTTGCTTGTGATTTTGTAGTGCCGGTCTGTAAGGGTGTTATGGTGGAACACACCTATTCTATAGTTAATAGACTCTCCCACCTATAATAAATAGGAGTAGTAAGAGTAACGAGTCGGTCAGTCAGTTGGTTAGTCGATGTCGGACGACAGTCAGTCGAATACTAAAGTATCAGCGACCACAACCAGATTGCTCTGCGTAACACCAAGTTCCTAACGTTTTGTACGTCAAACCTATTTTAGGACCCTTTTAGTACAAATACAAGCCTCCACTGCGAAATAACTCCACAACAAAGGGTCTGATAATTAAGCATCTTCTTTAAGATATATAGGATTAATTTTTTTGAAGCCATATCTAACTGTTGATCTAAAAAGGCAATTGTAAACTGTTTAAAAAATCTATTAAGGGGTCGTTTTTTGACCATAAGAAATGTGGTGGAGTAATGGATAGCAGCTCAGGTTGAGGAATCAGAGAACCGAGTTCAAATTCAAGTTGAATCCATTACATTCACTTGCATGCTAATACCCTTAGGAAAGGTATGAAACCACTTTTTCTTCCCCTAGCTTTGGGTAAATAGAAGGATGACCGGATTCTATAGTCTTGGATGGCAACTGGTCTACCACAGAAAGAAATGGCAAACTACTGTGAGAAAAAAAAAAAAAAACTGCTACGTCAGTCATGTATAGAAAGATACATGATTGCCTAAACATGTATCATGCATGGCACATAACTGACTGACTTTTTGACCATGGCAGTCTGAGTATAAGCTGCATTAAAAGAGAGGCAATATACAAGGAATTTGGATTTCCAAAGCAGAATAAAAACAAAAGAAAACACAAAAAAATTCCAGAAGAAAGAGGAAGATCATTTGTTTTAACTCTCCATATGACAAAGATATAAATCAGGAGTGTGACAAGGAAGAAATGAAAGATAGAATCTATTTAATCTTTTCCTAAACTATGCCTTGTGCATGTATGTGAAGCACAGATGCGAAGAGTTGGGCACTAATCATTTAAGCATTCCATACCACATCCCAAATGTATCTCCTAATAGAAAACAGAGTTCTTGCATTCCCTCCTGAGCCCAATGTACTGATGATGAGCATGGGCTATATGCTCATGAAATAGGTATTTATGGCTGAAATACAAATCATTTTGAACAAAAAAAAATCAACATTTTCTACCAAACATTCTAGGAAACAACCTTTGATATAGAATTGGAATGAAACTGATGACAGCATGTACCAATCATATAAAAATTCAGAATGTGAAATTATTGAATAACAAACATGTCAAATACCTTGGTGTATAGATTAATTATGATAAATTTAGTATAGCAGGAAACTGATTATACGATAGGTTGCACTGGGGGTAGCTTTGCCTAACACTACAAATACTACAAAACCAAAATATTAACCTAAAATTTCAAGTCATGTCCATAAATAGCCTTGTTAGATTGTAGGAATACAGAATGCAATTATCTCCCTTTGGTGGAAATACTTCACATGGTCACATGACAGCTGCTTAGTGACATCACTTCATACAGTTATGAGTGACCAGTCATTCATTCAGTTTACAGGAGCAAAACCAAGATGTTGCTTTTTTTTTTTTTTTAGAATGACCTGGGATGAGGGTAAATCTGCCTCTCCCATGGTGCGTCCCCTTTGGGAATATATCTTTCCCAGACATAGAAAGAAACTCCAGCTTGCAGTCTTCAATTTGGGAAAACCTAAGACTCACTGTTTCCTGTTCATGGAAACACAGAAGAATCTCCATATTATATGTAAAACCCTTCTTTTTTTTTCTCCTTACACTCTGCTTGACAGTGTAGATATATGATATATTTTTCTCTGCATGGGATGTGTGTGTGTGTATATATATATATATATATATATATATATATATATATATATATTAGTTTGTGTATATCTTAGTGGTGTAAAAGTCTCCCTGAAAACAAAGCATGTTTGTCATTCCATTCCATCTGTGAAATATAGTGTTATTATGTCATTGATATAATAATGCCCTTAATGAGGGAAATACAAATGGGAGAATAAATGTTTCTTTCATATTTCTCCTATTATAAGACTGAGACTTTCATATGGAAATGCTGCATGGCCTAAACTGATGAGTTTCATTCAGAAATATCTAAACTGCCTGTTGTATACAGCTGATTTCTCAGAGCAACAATTAATAATGGTTTTGAGCTCTTAACAAGGATCAATCTTCTTTGAAACTTGTAGATTGGTGCTATGGAATCACAAACCAAAGACTGTACAAATAACAGAAATCACATTGCTTAAGGACTTTCAACAGCATCAACAACTAAAATGGATATCACATGTAACCCGGAAAGGAAATAATGACATAATCAAGATGTTGACATTCCACACTATTTCAAACAAAATTTCAGAAGGAAGACCGCATCAATACTGAAAAAAGCAATAAAAGTTAACTTGAGAAACTTATTTTCCTGAAAAATTGTTATGGGCAGCTTATTCACAATTTTCATTCTGGTATACATCATATTTGAAAATTGGAAAAAAATACAATAAGAATAAACCAACAAACTGCAGTTGGATTTATGAAAACTTGTTTGATATATATATATATATATATATATATATATATATATATATAGAGAGAGAGAGAGAGGTTCACCCTGTACAAGACCCAGAGTCCACTTGAGGTAAAGAGGCACAGTTATACAGATAACAGGGGAAGATAACAGTTAACCCAAGACTGGAACAGGGAAACATCCTCTTGGGAGTCGGTCCCACAGAGCAGTGGTTTGTGGGAAGCTGCTGTTTGAGTGGAACTTCTCATCAATAGAATACAGAAGGAATGTGAGTGGTTTGTTACTGTGTAAGTGGCATGGTGTGTCCTTGCTGTGAAGGTGTGCCTTGGTGGGACCTGCATATGTAGTTTGAGCACTTTTTGTGGAAATAGCGATAGAGCAGAGAGAGGATTGCCAACAGGATATTCTTCCTTGTCACTGCATTTATTTCTGTAGTGACTCTTAACCACACAGATGAAAAAATTATACTTTGAAAATTTCAGATCCAAATTCAGCTAAGCGTGTTATATTTAGGATATATTGTTTAATCCTCATTGAAAACTTCAAAACAGCCTCTTTGAGTTAATCTATTATTCTCTACTACTCCATTTGTTACATACACCAAATAATCACTGATGGTCTGTTTATATTCTTCCTTTGGATTGTTTCAACCAACACTTTTATCCAGTGGACTATATGTCCTTGGGGAATCCAGGGACTTGACCCAAACAGTTGCAAGTTCAATACCTGGCCACAGTAGAGATGAACAAAAACTTGGAAAGTTCTTCTTTTTATGGAGCAATCATGGCTCTCAACTTCCCCCTATCACTTGTGGCTCCCAACTCCCCCAGACCACACTACTTTATCCATCTACCTAGGCCCACCACATATGTCATGTCTCTTTTTCCCTTCTATTCATCCCATGAGTATCAGATTGTCCAGGCCCTACTTTCTCATCACATGTCTCAGAAATTTCATCTGCCTCTTCCTTATGGTAAGCATAAGCTTCTTCCTTGCTTGCATCCTCTCCAAGACCTCCTCATTGCTTACAAACCTGGTCCATGATATCCTCAACATCCTTCTGTAGAACCATATCTCCACTTCCTTGATATGCTTGGAGACTTACTAAAGGGATTTCTCTTTAGTAACTCGACTCTCCAAGTTTTCCAACTGAAACTGAGATATCCAGAAGAGGCATGTTATGTGGAACTAGAACAATCTACCTTGGTGGACAAAATAAAGGGTTTGGTTTGAAATTACAATCACCTGAAGAAGATCAGAGCATACAACAGCTGAAACATTAATGTTATGAATACAAGAATAAAGATGGGGACACCAGTCCAAATAATGTAAATAGTATAAATACTCATTACGCATACAACTCAGGATTTTTACCTGCCCCTCTTTGCCTTCAATATATCCTGTGAGTGCCAAATTCTCCAAGTCTACTTTCCTCATTACACATCTGGAAAATTTCAACTCTTTCTCATTTTAAATACAAGTGTCTTTTTTTTATTATTATTTTCATTAAAAGTTTCTCATTGCTTACATGCTCCCACCTTGGTATTCTCCACATCCTTCTGAAGAACTACATTTCTATTGCCTCATTCCTTCTACCTATAAGGCAATTGTCCATCATTTACTGCCATATAGGAGAAGTTAAGCATCGTAGAGCCAGGTCAGTACTTAGATGGGGACCGCTTGGGAACACCTGGTACTGTAAGCCCCAAAGTCCAACCCTTACCTCACAGTCGGTGGGGGGGTGTAAACGGTAGTGTCAGAGTTATGCCGTCCGGAACTTCTTCCTGGTAGGGCCACCCAAGGCGGACAGGTCTGACACACACCCTTGCCAACAAGGGCTCTGGTGAAAATCCAAGGAGCGCCTGCATCGGGTAACCGGTGGCTTCTGGTCGCTCCTGTCTCTGCGTCTGTGGGAACCCCCTGGCAAGCAAGAACGTTATCCGAGTAGGCCTGGGTACCCCTACTTCTGTAATTTATCCCAAGTATCTTCTTCTCATAACGGGAAGAAGCCGGCTCAATCCACCCAGGGTGAATGCCGCATCAGTAGTAGTAGTAGTAGTATATAGGAGGATTGATATTAAATAGCAGTTCAACACTCTTCTTTGTTTCTCCTGAAATTTTCTTATTTCTTAAATCTTTGCTTACCTCCTGTAAGGCATCTTTCGACATTCAAATGTATTTACACTATTTACATTGTTTGGACTGTTGTCCCCCTCTTTACTGTCACATTCATGATGTTTCAGCCATTGTATGCTCTGGCCTTCTTCAGGTGATATTTGCTGGAATTTCAAACTGAATGCTTTTAGTCCACCTGAAGAAGGACGGAGCATACAATGGTTGAAACATCATGAATTTGATAGTAAGGATGAGGAAAATAGTCTGAACAGTGTAAATAGCTACAATACCTCATCTCAGAAATATAGACAGATTCAAATATACTTTTAGATTAATAATCATTTTACATATATATATAAAGAAATGGATAAAGTCCAACAATTTATTTATTAAAGACATTTTTATGTTTAACGTTCTTTTTTATAGATACAATTATTTAAGTAAATGCTCTGTTTATAATAAACAGTATTAAATAACATTTACCGGCCTGAATGTCCGAGAAATTTTCATAGAAAATATTCGTCATTTACGCTGACGTGCCGAGTCGGTTAAGGCATGTCAGCGTAAATGACGGTTCCATATAGGATGCAGGTTCAAATCCTGTCAACGGACGAATATTTTCTATGAAAATTTCTTGGACATTCAGGCCGGTAAATGTTATTTAATACTGTTTATTATAAACAGAGCATTTACTTAAATACTTGTATCTATAAAAAAAAAAAGAACATTAAACATAAAAATGTCTTTAATAAATATATATATATATTAGAGTTTGATATAACAATATATAATTTTATATAATTTTATTTATTATAGGAGATTAAAACAAAAATGTTAAAAATCGCTACACAATTGCTTTCATGTTTCAGCACTAAGCAGTGCCCCTTCAGGTAATTTTATATATCAACAAAAAGTATTTAAAAAATATGACTAATGGGAAAAGTTTTTGTGGTGTGTCACAAAAAATTTTCCAGTTTGTCATATTTTGTCAACATTGGTGGCATGGAGAGGAGCATTGTGCTGCATAGGCAACTACAATCTCTCATAAAACTCTGCCCAGGTCTGTGTCTTTGTGAGGACACATCATCCGCATGCTGCTCTACACCAACAAAACTTGGAACCTCTACTCCAGACAGAAGTGGCACCTCAGCGCCTTTCATCTTCATTGTTTGAGACGCATTCTGGGCATTAATTGGTTTGAGTGGGTTACTAATGCCATAGTTCTCACCCACGCCCTTCTCTGACAGCACCAGCCCTACTAGCTTGGCAATGTACGCAGTATGCTTGATGGGAGGATTCTGAAGAATGTGAGTGTCAAAGTCCTTTTGCATGTTGAATGAAAGAGAGCAGATGAAAGCAGCGATTAACCTACCTATTGAAATGGTTGGCGGAACAGGGATTAGGAGAGATAACAAAAAGATAAACCTTAGCAAGAGCTACACAGGAGCACAACACATAGAAGTTTAACTACAAAAAAAGCAGAAATTGTAAAAATCTTAATGCATTAAAGTGATAAATTTATTTTGAGCTTACTATTTTTTCTTCTTTTTATTGAATCCAAGTAATTAAGCTGTAACTGATCTCTCTTATTTTTTTAAAGAGAATAAAAGACAAAATTCTCTATCCAGGTGTTCACTGACATTTTGACTGTTGTTCTACAACATGTACACTTATTGCATATGTCATATTTGCTTCACTGATCAAGGCTGTAATTTCTGGGCAGGTGTTACAGGTATTTTGCATTACCTAAGCTCTGTGTCACCTTTTTGTTTTGTTTTTTTCTTCTCTTGACATGAGACATAGGCAAGGAAAATAGATCTAGGAAGTTTAGTTACTTAGTGTGTACAGAGAAATGTAAAAATAAAAAAATAGTAAAAATTATGACAAAAAGACAATCTTGTTCTCTTAGGTCATTTGATTTTTCGCTATATCATGTTGAAACATCAGTTCCCATATGATCACTGAAGTTAAGCAATGTCGAGCTTGGTCAGTACCTAAATGGGTGACTGCTTGGGAACACCAGGTGCTGTAATCTTGGATGTGCAGATGGTGCAATAGATAATGACTCGGAATTGGAAACTGGGGAGCCGAGTTCCAATCCCAGCCAGTTTTTTTTTTATTGATTTATGCACCAATATCCATGAGAAAGGTAGGAATCCACCTCTTCTCCCCCCTGCTATGGGTTAACTAGTTGGACTTGTATCATGGAATCATGATTATATCCAAAAAATCTAAAAATATTTTCTAGCTTTAAATAACCTGCAAAAGGTTGATAAACTGTAAAAAAAAAAAAACAAATCATTTAATCAATAAAATCTTAGGCAATTTCTTTTTTTTTTTTTTTTTCAATTTTTCTTTCTACAAAAAGTGGCATCACTATAAATCAAAGGAGAAGCCTTGGGATAAGTATGCTTGTTTTACAAGCCAATGAGTAGGAGCTTTTACTTTACTTAATGTTCTCAAACTATAGCCTTGTGCAAAACTTGGCTTTATCAAAGTATTTGAAAAACAATAATACTTTTCTATTTACACTATTTACATTTGGACTATTGTCCTCATTTTTGTTGTTATTACAGAATTTCAGCCATTATACCTGTACATCTGACTTCATCAAGTGTTAGGTTTAAAACTCCAAGTTTCCTACAGAGAATTATCCTACAGGACAGTAGCCTAGTGGATTAAAACATCAATAGCAACAAAGTCATTGGGAATTGAATCCCTGGTCAGGGCTGAGCCCAGTTACATATAGCCCTGCCCAGGCATTGAACTCATAACTACTATGTCACCAAATTCACAATCAGATATGTAATTGGACTCAGTGGAAACAGAGGGAGCAATAACTGAGATGTACTAAAAATAAGAACTAGATTGGTGAGATATCCCTAAATATGGGCAGTGTAATGAAAACTGTTTATCCCCAAAAATTAAATAAAGAGTTCAGTTCAGTAGGTTAACTGGATCAATATACACCTGATGAAGGCTTGAGAGCACAACAGTTGAAACAACAAAGATGAGGACAATAGTTCAAATGTAAATAGTGTAAATATTAACTGCTCATCCCAGAAATTCAGACAAAAATCTCTGTCTATAAAAGGCAGGATGTGTGTGTGTGTGTGTGTGTGTGTAATGAATGCATGGCCGCAACTTTCAACGGATTTGCACCAAAATTTACATACACATGCTCCAAGTTCGTGGGAAGGCCTAGACCGACTTTGCATTTCCCAACTCCCATCAATAGTGGAAGTAATTGATTTTTTCATGCTTCTACAGCACTTTTCATGTAGTTTGAGGTCATTTTGTACTGGCCAGAGTGAGAGCCAATAGCTGGCTGCCACAAATAGGCAGGAAGATTCTATTGGCCAGCGTGAGAGCCAACAGCTGACTGACACGAATGTTAACTAGCATGCAAAAAAAATCGACAGCTGTATTCGTCACAAGTGGGAAAAATTTAAATCTGCATAGCACTTTACTCCAATTGGCTCATTCGCTTGCTTAAACTCAACGTTGATTCTGATTCTGCAGAACTGTGTTGGGTGTGAAAAAGTATTTGTTGTTAACATTCTTTTTTCATTCGGTTTTTCCAGTTACAAGTCCTTTTTTAAAGCTGATCGTTTTGTGTTCATTTTGTTTAGTTCTTTTTTCGTAACAGATTTAATGTTTAGTATAGAGCTTAGAAAAAATTTGCAGTGTGAGATAGGCAAGAAGTAAGGCATGTAGCAACATCATCACGGCAAAGGGCACTCCTTTGAAGGCAAGGAAAGGCAAAAATATTTTAAGTCAAGTGATAGCAATTGCTGTATGAGTTGTATGGTTTTTGAATCAAGCACGGGCAACGCCGGGCCATGATGCTAGTACTTTTCTAATCTTGCACACATTGTAAATGATTTGTTTTGCTTTTTTAAGTGTCAAAGGCAGTCTGAAATAGTGAAAGCTCGGCAAAGTCTTAAGGAAAAGGAAAATTATGTTAAAAACAAGGACAACAGTACTTTACTACTATGTCACATCAATCCCCGTAGATGGTAGTGAATGCTAGACAGTTTCCTCTATTCCTGGATATGATGATAAACTACATCCAGCAGCAAGACCTCAAATCAGGAGATTGGCAGTTGTGAGGATTGTGGAATCACCTCTTAATTGCTGTTGTTCCCAGGTACACCCTGACTCTGGGTGGTAGCACCTGTTAGAGTCCCAATTATGAGGCATGGTGGAGTAATGGATAGTGGCTCGGATTGAGGGATTGGAGAGCCAAGTTCAAATTCCAGTTGAATCCATTACATTCACTTACATGCTAATACCCTTGGGAAAGGTATGAATCTTCTTCTTCTCCCTCCAGCTATCGATAAATAACAGGACAGACCAAGTTCTATAGCCTTGGATGGCAACTGGTCTACTGCAGAAAGAAATGGCAACCTACTGTGGGAAAAAATCTGACTTGGCAGTCATGTATCATGATCACCTAAACGTGTATGACACATAACTAAGTTCCCCCCACCACACCATACAAAAAAAAAAAACACTATGACTATAAAAATACATATTTATATTAAAATGACCAACAATATATTTCTCTCTGTATTTCAAGACATGCAGTTGCATTCAAAATATTTGGATTTTGGAATTTGATATGCCACTAAACAAAATCAACCAAAAAATTAACATGAAAGAACTCTTTTATGACATTAATCCATATAATATCCTACACTTTCTTAAAGAAATCAAAATGTCTTCCAAAATATAACTTCAACAAAACTGCAACATAAAACACACATATAACCACCTCCAGTAATTATGCCCACACAAATATGTAAATTATTTTTAATTGGTATCACCCCAAGCAATGTAGTTAAGCCATTAAAACACAAGGAGTTACAGGGTGTGGAGTAATTAGGAACAGAAACATTCATAATGAGCGGAAAAAGAAAAGAATAATCAGGAGGATAGTAGATAGTGATTGACATTGCATTTAAATTTTTGCAGATTAAAGTTGGCTGGAAAGCATGGTACCAGAAGAGATTTCCACAAGTAAGAAGTGCAACAAAAGAAACTGTTAGAATTTATGGTTGCATTTTGCCAACTCAACTGTAAACTGATGAGATCTCAATGCCAGTCAATGCTTAAATTCAAAAAGTCTAGGTACCTTAATGAAGAGCTCATCTGGAAAATTACCATGAAGATATTTACAGAAAAGACACAGGGAGGCAACCTTACGGTGCAGGGGAAGTGACTGAAGACGAGCTGCTAGATCAGAACCAAAAATATTGCAGATTCTTCTTTAGATCTTATCAAGGAGCTCTAGATAAATGAATGAATGGTAGACTTATAGATATGTAAGAAGGTTTCTGGAGAGAATAAATTATCTCGCACTACACAGTGAACGGATTTTCTTAGCAACTGATCTAGCAATGGTTTTAATATAGTCTTTCCACTTCATGTCAGTTGAAAACATTAGCACAAGAAGGCACAACAAGCCACATTCATGGAGGTTAGCATCAGCCAGGAAGACAGAGAGCCATCTCTCAGATTATTAATGAAGAACAGTTTCATTTTGGAGGTTTTAAAATTAACAAGTCATCTTTTGCACCAGTTGATGAAAGACATGATGTCGCTTGGATATTGGCTGCCATTTTGACCTTGTCAAACTTACTATCAAGGCAGGAATAAATGGTTGTGCTGTCAGCATAGAGGCCAAGTTGAGAGCTGATGTCATCAGGAAGGTCATTAATGATAATTAAAAACAGAGTAGGATCAAGGATGGAGTCTTTGGGGACACCTATGTTACTATGAAAGGATCTAGATGAGTGGCCATTCAAGATAACTTTCATTTCACAATTTGATGGGAAACACTGGATCAGCACAAAAATGTGTCTGGAGACACCATAATTTTTCACTTTATGCCAAACTCCGTCAAAGGCTTTTGAGATGCCTGATGCTACAGTCCAGGCGTCACCTTTTTTATCTAGAGCATGATAGAATCTTTTCACAATTATCGTTAGTGCATCAGCAGTTGACCTGGAGAAAAGGTCAATGAGAGATGATGAACCAATTCAGCATTGATTAGGGCCTCTAGAAGTTTCCCAAAAATGAGGTAGAAGGCTAATAAGACAATATTTGGAAGGTTTGGATGGTTCACCAGAGTTCATAAAACCTGGAACAACAGACGATGACTGCAGAAAAGTAGAAAGCAGAGAGGCATTTATTATACAGTTTAGAGAGAACAGGAGCCAGTTTGGGAGCACATATCTTAATGACTATTAAAAGGGTTACCACCGAGTCCACATGCTTTGTGGGGATCCAGGTTAAAGATGATAGCAGAAATAATGAAATGGTTAAGCATATCACTCAACAAAGATCTAGTTCTAAATGAGAAATTAGGCATGAATACTCCAGATGAATCAAGAGTAGAGTTTAAGGAGAATTTACAGTCAAAGCTGTTAGCTTTGTTAACAGAGGATGATAACACCTCAGATTGACTGAAGAGGGGAGGAATACAGCTCTTGCACTTATTTAATACCCTATTAGTGAGTTGCCAGTAATCACAAAAGTCCTTAGAGGTTATGCAGTACTTCATTCTCTTGGCAAACAGGGACTTAACTCCTTTGAGGACTTGCTTACATTTATTACGAGCACTAACAAATAGGTACCTGTTGTGACAAGAGCTGTCACACTGGTATGGCCAAAAATAGTGGTTCCTCTGTGTTGTAGTGGCCAAGCATACTGGTGCGAACCACAGAGAGGACTGAAGTTTCACCTGGTATTTCCAAGAAGAGATAAAAGTATCCATACTGGCTTTGACTCAAGAAGAAACCTTAGTGGCACAATTTTCAATTGGGAGGTTGAAGATCTCAGTGCATGAGGCATCACAAAGAAAATCATGGGGTGAGTCACAATTAGCATGCTGGTAATGGAAAAAGGTCTTATGGATAGGGGGTTCCTGTTTGGTAGATGATTGGAATGAAATATCAGTAACTACCACAGAGTGGTACAAATTACCAAGACCAAGGGGAGGAGGTAAGAAATAAATCAAGTAGAGAAG